GTACACACGCACAATAGAGCAACAAAGCAGGTCAGGGGACGATGATCACAACGAATGCTTTTATCGGTTGACCTTTCCTTTTAATTTATCGATTGTGACGATGTTCTCCTTTTGGCGAAGAAGATCGAATGGGTTGGTTTCCCTGACAAAAAATTTCAGCCCCTTTCAAGGTGGCAAAGGGAAAAACAACAGGGAGAAAATGCGCAAATTTTTCACTTTTTTGCACAACGCTTCTCCCCCTTTTCTCCTATTTCCTAGTTTAGCAATGTTTCGCAAAAACCAACCACATAAAAGGAAATTTTCGCGCCCACGCGGTACCCCTTCTTGCGATTTTTTTGTGTTAAGATTTGTTCGAGCGCGTTCCTTGGTGTCTTTTCTCTATCATGTACAAATTCAGCCAAAACTCTTTTTGTCCTAATTTTGCCCTGTGTTGAATGAAACTCCAATTCAGTTGGCCCACATCATATCGGTTGTTTCCTGTCATGTAGGTGGTCTATTGATATCCGAGGAGCATAATATGGTCATAAGCTTGCTTTCCATGGATTTCTCTGTGCGTTTGTTCTGTGCGTTTGTTCTCTATGAATCGGGAGCAAATGGCAAGGAAATTCAAAGCGCCAACCTTCTGAATAAATGATGAATTACCGCTGATTCTTTAAACGCTGGGTTCATAATCAAAACCGAACAAACAGTTAAAATAGGCTAAAGAGCTGTGATTCCAATTTTGGTGGGTTGAATGTCAAATATGGCCATGTAATTCAACCTCTGAGGGACTATTGTTCTCGATACTCCATAGCGGAAGGATAGAAAGTACGTTGGAGGTTTTGCGACTCGCCATTGGTCAACCGTGGAATTCAACTGTAAGTCATCCGTAGTCGGTTAGTCTTTAGTAATTTCATCATTCATGAACTATAACATCCCCATTGCCTTCGCATCCGATACGTGAGCGTTGATGAGACTGCATCACACCAATACGCTGTATTGTACAATCGACTATTGCAGGAAATGTGCTAGCCTTTGCCAAGTTCATTAACGGCCTGTCAGTTTCTGATGATGTCTACAATGTCTGGACAAAGCACAAACAACCTTATGCATGGACAAACAACCTCGAGATGAAAAACATTGTTCATTTATCCTGAATCAAGACCTAGTTGAAAACGGCTCAAGGTGAGTTATGCCCTGCACACACAAACTTCAATGTACAGCATCAAGTACAAATGTTGATTGTATTTCGTTGCCGCCTGTTAAAAGGGGTAATTGGCCCAGTCAACTTTCTATTCTGGAACTTGGTAATGCATATTCGTACGAACATCATAACTAATAACCTCTAGCTATGCAAAGTATCTCCGTAGCTTAAAAGCTACGATTCTCAGGCTCCGCCCTTCCAACGTCCTTAGTGATGACGTTTGTTTGTTTATTTTTCATTTGTTTTCATTTTAACGACCGCGTTCTCCTCAATAACCACCTTACCAATATCGTTTACAGATAAGGCGATGTCAACAACTAAGGCATTTGACACCTCAAGCTCACAGACGAATAAAAAATCCCCCATTCTGGGTTCTCGTCCGTATGCAGCTTGTTGTTGTATTTTCTATTGTTCACGGAGGTTGATCAACCCCTTCCAAGTCCCTCTGTTTTTCTTTTTCTGAGCTTACATGGCAATTCGGTTGTCATAGTACTGGCAACCACGCAAACAAGGCGATTATGGTTGGTGGTGCTCCAGAAATCTACAAACCATCACCGATGCGTATGTAATGTATTTAGTTCACTTAAACTTCACGATGAGATTGATCAAGCAAGTTAAATAACATCCCGACTCCCCGAGATATTGCGTGTCCTGGTTTGTTTACACTCGCATGTCCGCGTCGTGTCGTTTAATGTTTCTCGATTGATCTTTGTTTACTTTCGACATCACCAAGATATATTTTGTCGTTTAAATCTCCATGTAACTTGTCTCTTATGATTTGACCAATATGTAACGTAAGACACCTCAATTTGTCTGTCCAATTGTCCACTTTGGTCTTTGAAAGGCCTATGTCATGGACAGACCTAAATAGCTTGTAAAAGTTACAATATGCAATCCAACAACTTGCGTGTCTTCCAAATTAGGTTGCGCACGTCTGTGCCCTTCGGAAAACGCCCACATCAGGCATATTCATACCTGCGTGTGTGATAAGACAAGTTAACCTCACAAGTTAAAACTTACAACTTGTAACTAATAAGCTGTTGGGACTTTAGTTTGCATTCCCTAACAAGCTGAGACTAGTCGTGATCAACAGGCAAGGCAAGGTTGTTCCTTTCAGAGACATGGCTCGTATCTGAGGGAAACAGCTCACCACAGTAATCTGAATTGTAAACACGTACCCAGGCCCATCTTTTAAAGTGTGATGCAAATGTGTAAACTCCAGCCCATAGCCGGCTCCATATATCGCTGCATATAGTTGGGGCTTATACAGTTTACTGAGTACTGGTGCTGCTCACTTGTAATTTTTTGATCTTTCGAAGAGAAAAATACGTATCGCTAGGAACCAGCCATCTTGAATATATTCGAAAGCCTATTTACGACATTCACTTCAAAAGCTAAAATACATGGACTCCAAAACACGCCTATAAGTGACTTTTTCTTCTCTAAAATTAGCTGTTAAGCCGTTGAGCTATTAATCCGCATTCCTGTGGCTATTACTTGCCTCCTACATTCCTGTGTGTATTTTATACTTTGTTTGTGCTTTGTTCTTTTCTCGCCCTGGCTGCTTACAACTCGCAATCTATATACTTCAACAATCAAGTACGAATTCCACAGCTATTTACACAAGCTACCAACTAGATAACAGCACTAAGTCTTTCGGCAACAACAAAGCCCTGGGTTCGGGCAGCCTGCTACTAAATTGATTCCACGATCCTAGAGCATGTTCTACGCCTTGGAAGTTGGATTTTCGAAAGGTGGGCACAGTCTTCGTTTGCTTATTATTTGTGACTAGATCTGATTCGGACTGGATGCCTTAAGCTAGTGAAGCTTGGGTGTCTAAAGTGTATCAATTATGCGCTGCAGCTTAAAAGCAGACTGCCTTGTTAGACTACTCGCACCAGCCGTATGGAGAGCAATTAAAGGAGTACTCCCAAAACATACCGTTACCAGAGCGATCTACTGTCCACTTCCTGTTCCCGTATTTTTCACCAGTAAACCACTTTCCTAAATCGTGCGATCCTTGCGTAGCACGCATTGTTTTCGATTTCCTCTTCAAAACATGGCTTCTTTCATGAAAAAAAGAGCACTTCCCAGTCTCAGGGGGAGCCCCTCCTCCCTGGAATTTTTTGGACTTCGGTTACAACTTGGAGGCCGACCCGCTCTAGTGGCTGGTGGTAGCATTGGTTCCCAAACTTTTAACTACAAAGGACTAGACAAAACTCTCATATGTAGACAGACTCAACTGGGTATAACCTCTGTACCCAAATGCCCACTGACCCAATTAAGATTCTACCATTCAGCGTCTTCATCATGTAATGGCTGCCTAGAATCTTGGACCTTCATTGGTCAATAATATCTTCGTAAGCAACTAAAACTACAACATATTGATGCAGAAATAGCAACAGCTTTTTAATGTATCATTATTTTCACGAGCTGTTGTTGTTTGATGCACCATGAGGTTCCATTACCCTCTAAATAAGTGTTGTGCAATAAGCCTGTCGTTGCTATTCCACCTGTTCCTAGCTTGGTGAAGAGCTACAAGTAGGACTACGAGATGATGATATACATACTCTTGGTGCTGTACTTATGATTTCCACCACCAATTGGATTTGAAAAATCTATTAGGAGCGTAGTCGATCATATATCAACTGATAATAATATAAATACGGTTGACATGACTATTTGATGGCATCAGCTATGAGGATTCACAGTTTGTCAGTTTCGTACTTGTTATTATGAAGTATCCTTGGTCATGATTAAACCGTGCGTAAATATGACAACAGGGTCCAGGTTCCATACAAAGTGTTACAGCTCATTGATTCCAAGGCTTTCGAATAGAATTTGAGACCTATATCCTAGAGATAAAAATCACATACTGAGCTCTCAAATGAACTCATGGATTATCCAACATTGGAGTTGATCGATTGTTTTCACAAGTCCACCAACTGGTATCCGCTTTATATAAAAATCCTCTTCCAGTCTGCTATATTTCATGTAAGATGGTCAGAATCGAAAATTGATATCAACCTCACGGCACAATTATGGGGAGTAGAAACAAATAATCAATTTTATACAGAACCTGAAGTCGTAAATGTTCATATTGCTAAAGAGACGATCGTAGTGTTGGAATTGGAGTATGTTGGTATGACTGAAGTCTAATTCACATCATCATTGTGGTCTTTCACATTGAGATGGCATATGAAAGTATCACGCAACTACACACGAGCTAAGCATAGCCTTTAGTACCAGGTATATGACTAGGCACTCTGTATAAACAATTAAATAAGTTCGATAAAAGACAAATTTATTTTCGATAATTAAGTGTACACAAAGGTCTAAGATGCTTTCTCAACAAAAATTGTCGGCCGTTGATATGATTCACGATTAGGATGAAGTCAGTGGGAAGACATTTTCGAAGAAGAAGTAGAATGGATCATTTGGATCCGCGTTGAAAATGTTACCTTGTGGAGTGTACTCACAGATAACATAGATTCTACTGTTTGGACAATCCTGAACAACACAACCAACCTCTGTGGTACTGTTCCAGATTAATTGGGTAAAGTGACCATAACTGTCGAAGGTGTCATAATCAGGGTCAGTGTAATTGTAGTAGGCGCTTTCAGCGTACCACAAGTCGATTGCCTCAATAGCGGTAATTGTACCATAAGCCAAGTTCTCACCGTAATCGAGACCAGTTCTGTCAGAGTGGACCAAAGTACCAGAACAGACATCGCTATCAGTGCCCTCCAAGGAGTCAATGTAACTCTGAGCAAACTCTGCCAATGTATCACTCCATACGAGTGGTTGAGCACCGTGAGCAGCACGGAAGAGATTGTGCTCAGCCAACAAAAGTTCATC